CCACTCAAAGCGCTTTACAGGTCATGGGGAATCCCACTACCGCCACCAGTGTGCAGCCCCACTTGGATGATGCGCCAGTCTGCTCCCCACACACCAGCTCTCAGTGGGGAGGAGAGCAGAGAGATGGAGCCAGTTCAGAGATGGGGAGAATTGGGAGGCCATGACTGGTAAAGGCCAGGGGGGAAATCTGGCCAGGACACCGAAGTTAACACTCCCACTCGTTTCGAGAAACGCCCTGCGATTTTTTAATGAGCACAGAGAGTCAGGACCTTGGTTTGACGTCTCATCCAAAGGACGGCGCCTTTTTACAAGATAGTGTCCCTCTCACTGCACTGGGGCATTAGAATCCACATAGACGTGAGCGCCCCCTACTGGCCCCACTAACACTTTCTCCAGCAGCAGCCTTAGTTTTTCCCAGGAGGTCTCTCATCCAGGTACTGGCCAGGCTCACACCTGCTGAGCTCCAGTGGGGCTGCCAGCTGTGAAATGCAGGGTGATTTGGCTGCTGGCTGTAAAAGAGTTAATGAACGAGGGCAGCATAGCAGAATGGGTCAGTCTCTCGACCCATGGCTGACAGGTTGTGGGTTCAAGTCTTCACTGCAGACACAGCTATTGTACCTGGAGTGAGAGCTTTACCCCAGTATCTCCTGTCCACCCAGCTGTATAAGTGGAGACCAGATAGAGGGAGGCACGCACTCTCTAGTTCACTTATTCCTACAGAACACAGGATGAGCGCAGCCACAATGAGCTGCTGTGGCTCAAATATGAAGATTACCTAACAAGTCAGCGGACAGCGTTTATTCGAGAGAGATGCCACAAAGTCCTGATGAAGTGCCCAATTTTTCCAATATTATTTTGATGTTCTCAAGAGCATCTGCTGGATGACGCAGGAGACCCCCAAGAACCCCTGTTCACGTCCATCTTACTAAGTGTATATTGAGCTCTTTCTAGAACAGCTCTAAAGCTGCCTGCAATTAATGGGGGACTGTTTTACAAGCACATGCCTGGTTTCAGATTAGTGCCCTACAGCTGGGCATGCTTACATGCTGGGTGAGACAAATCATAAATTGAGTCATACTTTAATTTCCCTGCATTGCGGTCTCTTTAGCACTGGGACACTTGACTCAGTCCCGGACATGGGGTGCTGCCTGTGTGGAGTTTGTATGTTCTCCCTATGTTCATGAGACGTAAAACCGAGGTCCTGACTCTCTGTGGTCATTAAAAATCCCAGGGCGTTTCTCGAAAAGAGTAGGGGGTGTAACCCCGGCGTCCTGGCCAAATTTCCCATTGGGATCTGGGAGTTACTGTCCATCTGTCTTTTTCATAAGGGATCCAGCTTCAGCCACC